CACCTTTGAGTGATCAGACATAGAAACGTGAACTCGTGTATCACTCACACCCTTACCGAACAGCCTGACCAGAAGAACCCTACTAAACATCGTCAAAAGTGCCTGGTATATTGCTTTGGGCTGTTGTTTTAAAGAACAGTTTCCTGTTCAATCCTTTGAGTTGTCATTGGTATATTTAATAAATTAGTTGCGTATCCTTTACAGGACGTTGCAAACCAACAACAGCATTTTTTTGGCTGTTGTGGTTTTCCTAGGCAAGTTTACGTCCAGTAGTTTGCCATTGCTTTCAGGACGGTCGGCGTCTCAATACTACCGTTGAAACCAACACAAGGCACAAGGCCCGCAGCTGGGATCTAACCCGGCACCCCGTACTTACAAAGTAATGATTAATACAGGAAGTATATTGTCGAAATTATCTATAATAAATTCTTAGGCATTTCTGAACACAGACTGCATGCATGTTTATTGCTCTTGTGGATGCTATCAGAACGTTTGACACATCAGTGACTCCGTGAGCCGTTTGCTGGACGCCAACCCAATAAGTACTATTACAGATACACTGTACAACATTCCAAGACGTTATAAATGACACATTTGTAACAGATACGTCAATGACTACTATGGTTATTGAAGTTCTCCGCGCATAAGGATCTAACTATCAGGGAAACACATTTATCTTTTGTATCTAAGACATCTTATATGTAATGCGGAGACAAGTTCCATTGATTAGCTCGTTATTTCTGCTTAGATTAAACAATATAGAATTAGTATATTCTTCAAGTGTGTTGTGCGATTGTGTGTTTGACATGCGACATTCATAGATCTGGCGTAAGTGAGTATTCATGTTTATCATGTCAGAAATGTATCATGTTATATCTAGGACTTGTGCAAGAATCAGTATTGTGTGCTTGAGTATCACAAACACTTTAAAACCGTGTTATAAATAACACAAACGTCTACTACAGCCAACACTGAAACGATCAGTAATAAAGTTTAGCGAGCCAGTCTCATTTCCTAGCTAAACAGTCAAACGTTTTGAAGAACCTTGACATTTCAACTGCCATATAGAGCAAAGTAGACGTTTTGCATGAATCGACTAATTGTTGCCATTCATTGTCCTGGGATATTGTGAACAGCTGTCTGAGATAAATTTGTTCTGACAACAAGCCGAAGAATTGCTGCGGTGTGCATATGTGTTGTTACCCCCCACAGCACATGCCCATCAGCTGAATATCACAACGCATTACTCACTGACAGTGGTTGTGTGGTGCTGTGTGTGGCAGAAAATCGAAGTTTGTTCTCACAGCTCGCTAGCCTAGTTAATATTGTCTCAGTCCTTCTCTTGCCCCTTCCTTCGCGAGTCTCCCAGGCATCGGAAGGACGAAATACTGAATCAAGGCTGATCAAGCAAGTCAAGGGATAACTACGGATGCAGTTAGTATATACTCAGTCAGTGGCCGTCTAAAGGGAACTTAGAATTCTCTAGGATAGACTTCACCTGTTTCGAAAGACTGGATTTAAATTACGTAGAGATTTTGTGAATCTCACGGTTCATTGAAAGGAAACACAGCCTCCAAATAATTTGAATTTTTTCCACATCTTGATTTACTTAAAATAAAACGCTGACGCAATACAAAAAGGTTGAAACAAGGCAACGGGAACATGCTGAAGATGGAATTGAATTTACTGTGTGCAAACTAACGAATAATTTAACGACCATTGTTAATAACTGCGCTTTAGGAACTTGTAATCTAACATAAAGAGCATACACAAAAGCGTGTGTAGTTATGCGTTCTTTAAATAAGAGAAGGGAAATAATTCAGTTTTCCTTGCTGGATTTCGTCAACGTGTCTGGAATCGAAAACAGGGGCAACGTTGTGTCTGTCATGGATATAACAGATGAGAAAGAGAATGACAATGCGGGCATTGCTGCTTCAGGTGATGTGTCAACCATTGAGGGCATATCCTCTACAGAGACAATCATCATGGCCACAATGCTTGCAGTCGTCTTTATTGCCAGCGTGGTGGCTAACTCCTTTGTGTTTGTAGTTTTCTGCAAAAGGAAATCCATATCGATGTCCAACAGATTTATAGCCAACCTCACTATCTGCAATTGCTTAAACACGTTTTTGGTAACCCCGTACGCCTTTACATCCTTGCTTGCCAAGCGGTGGGTGTTCGGAAACTTTTGGTGCGTGTGTACCGGGTTTATGATGAATGTGTTGATTGGGGCCAGCATATTTACTCTAGCTGTCATCTCCATAGACAGATATTGTGCAGTGGTGACGCCTCTGCACTATACTATGAGACTGACCTCACGACGATGTTCGGGATTGATCGTATGTATTTGGATAGCGGCGGTGGCTGTCTCGTCGCCGCCCCTGATGGGTTGGAACGCCATAGAATTTCAGCTAGACAAAATGGTATGCACAGTGAAGTGGTCCAGCAGCGTGCGATATGACAAATATTATACTCTCTTTCTGATAAGTTTCAGTTTTCTGCTGCCACTGATTGCCATGCTGTGGACTTATGCCAGAATGTTTCGAGCCGCCCACGGAAACATCGTCAGAACACGACGGAGTAGCGTCATTCGAATCAGTTCTCCTGTGATGAGTCAGTGTGATGAAAGTGCTCAACAATCGACGCCCATCAACTCCAGAAGACGAAGCAGCTCGGCTCCAATTATCAGGCGCTTAAGCCAATGCTCCAGTCGCTCTTCCTCATTTCTTTGGAGAAAAGAAGAATGGAAGACCGCAGTGACCAGTTTTCTTGTTTTGTTTAGTTTTGCTTTGTGTTGGACCCCGTACTTTGTTGTCATGGCTGTAGAAGCCAGTGGAAGCACCTCTTCCCCCGTGTGTCCAACCGTATCTCACATATCCACTGTTCTAGCCATGTTCAGCTGCGCTTGCAATCCTCTTGTCTATGTTTTCAGAAGCAAGGTTGTGCGCCAAGAACTGAAAAGCATCGTCCGCGGACAAGGCAGCTTCGAACATGAAGTCTGCATACCTCACGAAATTCTCAGAAGGACTTCCGTTGTCAGAAATGAAAGCGGTAGAAGTTTGCCAAGTTTAGTTGGCGGTGATGATAAGAGAGAGAACAACAGTACGGACAAGGAACGCAGACCCCTGAAAGGTCTCAGGAAGTCCAGTTTTAGTACCAGGGTTGTGAAATACGAGGATGCCCCCCTTCCAGAATCTAGCACCGAGTGCACTTTGATCACTTGTGGCAGCTGTACCTCGCTCAAAGTGTGACGAGATGGTAGTTCGCCTTTTGTGAAAAGTCGCAGTTTGGACACATTTCTTTAAAATGTGTGCCGCCTCTAAGTGAAGGTTGTTTGCAGTGTCCACCCTGCTTTTTTGGGGGACATTTGACATGGAGGGACCCAGATATCCTCTAGATGAGGGCCCCAATCTCCACAACGTTGTGGCTCTGAAAACCACCAGAAAGGTTTTTATTTTTATTTTCAACAAACCGTCACCAGCGGTGAAAGCTAGTACGTTGAAGATCGCACAGTTGTGAAATTCATTCACTAAGCTGCGAGCCACAGAGCCGCACTTTACAGAATTTCAAGTGACAAATCAAGGCAGTGAAGTGTAGACTGCGATATCAAATGTCACGGAAGTTAGGTTTCATAAACACTCGGAGCAGGTACTCTTGTCAGTTAGAAAGCTAGCTGTATATCCTTCAAATGACCTCACAACCCAGTTTTCACATTTATTGGCTGCTATGTAGGTTACCTAGGCAGTTTTGCCATTATATTTTGAAATGTGATGCTCTCATACTGTTGTCGAAAACAACACAAGGCGGTCTGCTACCCAGTTTCATGCAGCTGACACCCTGTATTAGTGAAACTGCGTTTTTAACTCTGGTAATCTGCATATGTCGATACAGGCAAACACGACGACGAGTATAGGTGAGACTGTTTAGCCGACTGGGTGGCGTGCTGGCTGGTTGATTGGTTAACTCGTAATTCCAGTGCATTGATGTACTATGTCAGTCCCGACAAGTTGAACTGTGAAAGGCATTATCACACTAATGGCTTATCATGTCCAGATATTTATAGACCAAGTGGCACTAGACGATCAACATTCCGTCAGCCACGTTACTTCCCAGCCATATCAAAGTCTCCATTTTCGGCTTGGATGACCTTGGTGCCCTCGTCATTTGTAACCTCCGTCTCCATGTGGATTCGTGAGCAAAAAAATATTAAAAAAGCGTGGCACAAACATTACATTGTATAAACTATAACCAGGCATATTTCACCGCATCTCGTCAGGTGAATTACTGAGTGCTCATCATCGTCAGCCTTTGTAGAACGTAGCTCCCGTCACGGCACGCCTGAAAGTCTTCGTTTCTCTAGCCAGTTCTGCAGCATCGTGTGCTTTCATAGCCAGTTCTCCATCATCATGTGCTTTCAAAGCCAGTTCTCCAGCATCATATGCTTTCAAAGCTCCAGTTCTCCATAGCCGTTCTCCACGTGCTTTCATAGCGCATAGTGCTTTCATCTATAGTTCTCCAATATCATGTGTTTTCATAGCCCGTTCTCCAGCATCATGTGCTTTCATAGCCAGTTCTCCAGCATCATCTGTTTTCAAAGCCAGTTCTGCAGCATCATGTGCTTTCATAGCCAGGTCTCCATCATCACGTGCTTTCATCAATAGTTCTCCAATATCATGTGCTTTCATAGCCAGTTCTCCAGCCTCATGTGCTTTCATAGCCAGTTCTCCAGCATCACGTGCTTTCATCGCCAGTTCCCCAGCATCATGTACTTTCATAGCCGGTTCTCTGGCATCACGTGCTTTTATCGATAGTTCTCCAATATCATGTGCTTTCATAACCAGTTCTCCAGCATCATGTGCTTTTATAGCCAGTTCCCCAGTATCACGTGCTTTCATAGCCAGTTCTGCAGCATCGTGTGCTTTCATAGCCAGTTCTCCAGCCTCATGTGCTTTCATAGTCAATGCATCTTCAGTATCTTCTATCCACGTTTGCAGAGATCAGCATTAGCCTATGAAACTGTTCCCGCCATCACCGTTTTTTTCAAGGTCACATTGACGCTGAACCTGGTCTGAACACCTCAGCTTTCAGTACAGGAGGCGGTTTATCTGCCTGTTATCCTCGAGTCTTTTATCCTGTAGAATTTCAGTCTTGTTTTTTGCATTTTGGTCCTTGGTTTTCTACACATTTGTTTTTGCTTTTTTGGGTAGCATTACAGTTTGAAAGCTTCGTAGCTACATAGAGGTAAAAAGAAAGCATACAAACTGAATCGTTTCCTACTGAAATACGCAACTCGAATTGTCAGCACAAACCAACAAAGTCACGTGGTTTACCATGCCAATTAAAATGTATCGCCAAACTCGTTCTCTCGTTCTGTAGTAATATACCCGGTGAGATACTGCGACATATGCCATGCAATTAATTTTGCAATGTAGTTTTTTTTTTAATATTTTTATTATCTGCATTATAAAAATTCACTAAACGAAAACATTGCTATGAGGCAACGAGAATGTATTTGTTTGAGCTTTTTGCAGAGACCATCTACCCAAGGGACCATTTTCCCCGCAGAAAGTGCTACAGAGCTCTCCCTGTTCTTTTTCAATGTCACACACGAGCAGGATATGCTGGATAGCAAGGGCGTCGGAACGTTGGGTTTTTAACCTCCCACTCCGCCCCCAACATTATTTTTTTCAAACGGCGTAATTGAGCGCGCCCCCCCCCCCCCCCCGCCACCCACTCCCTTCCCCTATATTATGTTTTAATCGCAGTAATTGAGACACTCCCCTCCCTCCCCTTTCTCTTCCAAATTTGTTTTAACACGGTAAGACACCCCCCCCTTCCCCCCCCCTTCCCGTTTTTTCATTCTTTGCACCGCCACACAAGTATCCCTTTCCTTCTAGAAGGTTGGCATGCCAGCTCAGCTTAGTGACCCGTTTAACATAGTATAGAAATCTGCCCCCAGTGGGTTTCGAATCTCTAATTTGGGGGAAAACATGAACAAACCACTGCTCCCTAACAAGTATGCCGTAAAAGGCGACCAGGTCTGTAAAATGGACATGCAAGTAAAACTCAAGTTCTGGAACATGACCAAAGGCCAGAAGTGGATGAACAGCCAAAACCTTCTGCCGAAGTTTACAGCCGGTAGTGCTTTTTTTTGTGTGTGTGGGTTTTGTTGAAAGATTTTATAGTTTCGGATAAAACAAATGCATTTATCATTCAGCACATGATATTAAAAACAATAATAATGACGATTATTATTATTGCACACTTGTATAAGTCATAGTCTCCCTGAAGTCCACCATTTAGAAAAAAAAAGGAGGCTTAAACCTCACCCCCTCACTCTCTCACCCCTCCCCCATACCACCCAACCGTTTCAATGTTTTTTTTTTTATCAGCGCCTCGAGTACACCATGACAATCACAGATCTTGCCCACTCAACTGTGTGTAGATAAAAACCACGCTTTTCACATTGTATGAGAAACGCAGTTGATTGAAAGAAAGATACGGCACAAAACAACTACTGATGAAACGCCTGTTTAAAGTGCAGAAACACGTTTGAAGATGCCGTAATGAAAAGGCTGGTCTAAATGGGAGATCTTGTATATTGTTTCGTTTCATTTGTCTGTGATGTAATTTTTTACAAGTTTGTCACTATTTTTATACGTATATTTACACAGTGAATAATTTTATGGCTTCAAACGCCCTGTACATATTTTTTATGTGGCTGATTTAATGGTTGCTTGTTTGTAGTTTCTTTGCTTCTATAGAATATTGTATTATTTCAGTTTCCAACTGTTGTGTCGATTTTCACTATATGTTTATCGGAATAGTAGATTTTTTAAAACTATTTTTTTTTAAAGTTATTGAAACGACAATAGCGTTTTTGAAATAAATGTGTGTGTGTGTGTTTTTTTTTTTTTTACAGTTTTATAGTTGATGCAAAGAAACTACATAGAACTCGCTGCATAATGTCATAATACTGTTACTCTTTCACTCATGTTTTCAGTGTATGTGTCCCGCCATCTCTCACTATATATATGTTTATGAGAAATATATGGGCGAACATGTGCCGTCAAGGCAAACACAATGCAATATATTGGCACACACTGAAGAAAAAGTTACCAAAACCCACACACAAAAAGTCACTGAAATGAAAAAAAAAAATGTGAATTGAAACGAGGAATCTCATACAGAAACCCAAAGACCAATAAAGGTAAGAGAGGCTAAAGGTGCCAGACTGGATTAATCCATGATACAGAAAAAAAAATACACAGAAAGGAACGAAGGAAAAAAATGACAATCCCGCGAGAAATATAATGAAAATACAGGGTAATGAATGATGATGATAATACCTGCTATTCTCTTCTTTGTTAGCCCTCTCTTTCTTTCTCTATCTCTCAATATCTCTCATTATATATGTATATATATTAGGGAAAGCTATGGCGTAACGGCTTGACGCTTGCGTGCGGATCGGAAGGTCGTGGGTTCGCTTGCTGGCCTTAACTCCCAGTTTAACCCAGCCTTAAGTGGGTACCGGGAAGTAATGGCGGCCGGCTTGATGCTGACCACATCACCCATCTTGGGACGATTGGCTTACACAAATGTCAGGCGAGCGCCAAATGCTCTGTAGCCTAAAGGCGTGGAAAAGGGACCTTAACTATATATATATAATATATATATATATATATATATATATATATATATATATATATATATATATATATATATATATATATATAATGATGCTGCGATGAGATACTGATTTGTACGTTTGCCAGTTAATCAACCAATCATATAGATGTCGCATCCACAGTGAAAATTGGTTTCGGTGGAAGTACTACAGGCACTGTCTCATGTTGTCCGTGTACACTCTCTCAAACAGTCCCATGTCAATCTCTTGATGTTGTCTTCCCACTTGCATCGCTGTCTACCTCTTTTCTTATCTCTAAAATCTGTTTCCACGGTATGGTTTTCAAGGAAACATTTTTTTTTCAACTGTGGCTGAAATAGTGATTAGTGAATACGCTATGGTCTGTCCTAAAAAAGAACCAAGAATGTATCTTTTTACCAGCGTGCCCTTCGGGTCGACCTTGCACAGCATACATCTACACCACACCGAGAAATCAAGAAGAGGTACCAGAAAACGATTTTCTAGAATAGGTAGTGAATGAATAGCAACATAGAATTGAACTGGTCACTCATATCGTATGGTGTTGTCAAGAGTAGGCCTAAATACCTTTATAACATCCCTAAC